ACACACAGACTGTGAGCCGAAACATGGTAAGATGTTCATTAAAACCATTTTCAACTGCTATTGATGCAGTAACGCAACACGCACCGAATGCACTTCGACTGCTCCGCTGGATTGTCAGTGATGCCACCGTAGAAGACAAGCTGCTTTCGGAGTCTCGCGAGTAAAACATCCAAAAGGGAACGACTATCAACTTGTCCATTTGGCTCATTGGTCACCTTGACAGTGGTGTATTCAACCGGCGCCAGAAACGGTATGTGGAACAGGGACCAAGGCAAACAGCGAAGCAATGCGATTCCAACGGGAAACAGGCTGGAAAGGGAGAAGATAACTAAGGGTTCAAGTAATGAAGCATTAAAGGTACCAATGGTATTTGTCTCTGTAGATCGGTCTTGAAACAAGATAGGTGTCAAAACGAATATTCTTGCAAACATGCAACAACGTAATTTTGTTCAACGGAGCTACTGGATAATAACTATGTTAATACATAGACATAGGTCCTCCGAGAAAACAAACAGTAGCTCGTGGAAAAGGGTATGTCGCAATGACACGGATTTGTACAGAGGCACGTTTGTGACAATAGTTGTGTAAAGATCATCGTGAGCGCCAAAGGATACAGAAGTCAAGCAAACACGATCTTATGCTAACGGCTGGAAAAGTATGCAATCGTCGAACTTGCGGTCATACAAACCTATATTTGGGACTAAATACGTCCCGATGAGAATAGGCTGTTTAAATCGCATGATCACTTCGCGGCTGTGAGAGACGTCACAAGTGGTGTAGGCCAAATAAATCAGTATTCCTCGAAGCAAGAGAATCACTAGACCAAGTCGATTGATTCGGACCTCTCGATATAATCCAACAGAAAGCTGCTGTCGTATGACTTGTAGACATTTTTCATGCCCGGTAACAAAGTCATGCAGGTCGCATCAGTGAGTTGCCGAACATAATGACAAGAAGGCCCTTCCTTAATCGGCGGAACTAGTTGGTTTATTAATTGATTGTCATTAATGTCATTTTTACCGTGGAATCCATCGCGAAGTGTTTGTCTATGGAGTCTTGCTCAAGGAAAACAGATTGGTTTGGATAATGCAAGTGAGATGGTTCTGATGTTTGACAATCACAAGGCGTCAATCCGTTCTGGAGAGCATCATAGTGTAACAGGAGAACTAACTACTAGATTACCCGTCCGTCGAACAGTAATGACGAAGTATATCAATCTAGACATCTTGGCAAATGCCAAGGTTATCTTACCAATGATGAAAGTTAAAGCCTAAAGAATGCAATCATCAAACCTGTGGCACAAAAAACGCATCACAATCATAATCCGCGGCGGAAGCCAGATCTATTTGCGACAAGGTTTAATTACCATGCAGCACAAACGAGGAATACTAATGGTAAGAAGGGACATAGGGCAGGAACAGTAAATCATAAACAAACATCCATGGCTAAATTGGTTACAAGTTACCGATAAAGTATGGCAGAAAAGAGATGATGCGTTACCTGAGAAACAGACCATTTGCGGTATTCAGCACCGCGTTTAAATCAACTTCAATCAACAGATAAGACATTTGAAACAAACGATCAGGCCAGGGAAAAGTATCGGGCACCGCACTGGCCCTGTTTGCGGTCACTGGCCTGTATTGTCCCATGTAAAGTGTCACGGAGGTGAAACAGCTGACTACTATGGTGCACACTAGCGGGGCGAGATCCGCCACATCACGTGAGCGGCTGACAGGCTCGTTGTCATGGTCGAACCGGAAGCTGACGAAATCAGACCGTCGTCGCCGCACGGGTTGCTATGTTGCGGACGTGATCCTACCTACAGTCAGAGAGAGATGGCCGCTACCCGAGTCGAATATGTTCAGACAAGCGGTGTGACTCACCTCAGTGATAGAGGCGAGGCAAGCGCATGTGACCTATAAAAGTAGCCATGTTTTGTGCCTAATATACTTCGGTCTAGCAGGCTCAACGTTTTTTTTTCTCCGGCTGGTTGGTAGTGCAGAGACAGAGGAAAAAGGGCAGCATTACAACAGTGGCGACGAGAGTTCAATCGAACGCAAAATGGCAGTCAGCTTTGAACAATTGCAGGCACTTTTGCAGGAGCAGCAGACACAGTTCGAAAAGTCACAGAGGCAGCCGATGGCAGTGCTATCACAAAAATTAAGCATTCAAGTAGAATGGGAACTGGAAGTGAAGTTGACATCGCAAAGAAATTGTTTCAGAATGTCAGCGGTTGCTCAAATTAAATCCTGCTGCAAATGTGGTCGCAAATTCGGAAGCTATGGAAGAACAACAGTTCTGCCACACTGCCACTTCAGAATCAGATGTGCCCATCAGACTTAAGGATGTGACGATAGGAAACAATGGCAATCCGATTACACGGATGAATAGACGCCACGAAGCAATGCTCCAACGTGGTCCAGAATGCTGCAGAATCACCAGTGCTGCCCTGAACTTCAAATCAGCCAATAAACCAGTATCCAGAGCAAAACGCGTTGTGCTAATCAGGAAAGCAAAGCATTGCAGTTGTCATGCGGGGAAAAGTCGGACAGACAGGGTGCGTCATTTCAGAATTGGTGACAGGGGGTACGCGCGAAAGTTCCGAGGACCGAAGTGGTGGTCAAGAGGAAGGGTGTTCCGCAGAAATGGTAGAGTCAACTATGAACTAACAGTTAGAAAAAAGAAATGGATCAGGCACGCAGATCAGCGGAGACCGAATCACGGAAAAACACAAGGGACCGCAGACAACATATATCGAAGAGCGGCCAGAAGGAGAAGAAAACCACCAAGGCAACTGATTTATGTCAAAACAAAGAAAGGTGAATTGACGCAAGTACGCATGGTGGGGAAGCAGCTTCAATTCGGAGGAGGTGTTACGGAGGCGAAACAGCTGACTACTATGGTGCACACTAGCGGGGCGAGATCGGCCACATCACGTGAGCGGCTGACAGGCTCGTTGTCATGGTCAAACCGGAAGTTGACGAAATCAGACCGTCGTCGCCGCACGGGTTGCTATGTTGCGGACGTGATCCTACCTACAGTAAGATAGAGATGGCCGCTACTAGAGTCGAATATGTTCAGACAAGCGGTGTGACTCACCTCAGTGACAGAGACGAGGCAAGCGCATGTGACCTATAAAAGTGGCCATGTTTTGTGCCTAATATACTTCGGTCTAGCAGGCTCAGCGTTTTGTTTCCCCGGCTGGTTGGTAGTGCAGAGACAGAGGAAAAAGGGCAGCGTTACAACATAAAGTACAGGATTAGTCCCGTAAAATACACCCAAAGAGTGACCAAAAGATTTATTTCCAGATGGCAAACAAACAATTGCGATTTGTAAGTGGGTGTCAACGCAAACCAGTGATCAACCCAAATCTCTTCTTCGTGAGCAGGCATGCTTTGAATGTACCCGAAGGAAGCCCGACTGGTATCTGATCTGACAACTAAGCGTCGTGGACATGCTGCATCCAACCAAAAGGAATGATCTTACGTACGCTACAAGGTCCAAAGACATGATGACGACAAAGATGCCCAGAAAAGTGAGATCAAGTCTCCATGTCCATGGGGGAGAGAATCTCACTGTGGTCCGATCTACACTACTCCAAAATGCAATGGTGGGTATGTGTGATAGAAGCTGGTGACTAGAGACTAGTGGACGAAAATATCACGATCGCACGCGCTGGAGGGGCGAGCAGGACCCATCGAGATTAGCACGAGCGAACAGCAAGGTTGTCGCAGACACGGGCGAACCGGATTGGCCCGAAAAGTTCACGCGCGCTGACGAAACTCGACTGACGGCATGTAACGTTGACTAGATAGGGTGAGACAGTAAAGGTCGAAAGGAAGATGTGTCTCGCTGGTGTCACCTTATTCGCATACGACAGTCAACTGATTGTGACTGTGTGTTTGCCTGTTTGACATTTATAGGTCTTGCGTCAGTCGTTGGCTTCGCTTTTGATTCCATAGTGGTGCTGTCAGCTCTGAGTGTATGCTTGCATGATAACGAAACAACAGTATAGAACACTGATGTGGCACCGCTAGAAATCGCATCCGAACTGCAGGCTCTGGGAGCCAGTTACGATTACCTATTCCAGCCTAAGTAAGGATGTCCGGTAGTATTCCGACCAACTTGCACACGTCTACGACTGCGCAGTACCAGAACAGAGTACAGATGTACTGCGTATACCCATCTCTGGTATTTTGCACAGGTGATATACGTAGCAATCTGCAGAACCCTTCAGCAATCCTGTTGCGTTTATTTGTATGTCAGACGCTGGACAGATGGCTTGTGTTGCCATAGGAAAATATACTTCGTAATTGATTAAATAATCAGATACAGAAATGGCTTCGGAATAGTATAGGCAAATGACTTATCGTATAACTAGCGTAATGTACCAGATCCGGCCACAGCAAATATGAAATTAGACATGCCAATATGAACGAATTACCGTTTCTCATGTAGTCAAACAATCGTGGAGGAAATAGGGCCAGCACAGGGAGTCTCGTAAACCCATGAGTAAAAAAGCAACACGTGCAACATCCCTATGGCACCAAACTGTTCTTACTTACAGAACAAGTAAGAAAACTAGGGGGGAGGGGAACGATTAACGCAAACTCACTTGCAAGGTGTATGACATTCTGGTTGCGAACTGAGTGCCCTGCGAATGCCAAACAAATGACTGAGAAGTGTGTGTAAGAGAAGGATGAATGCTGGATGTGATGTGGGACAGGTATCCAAAAGGCTGACTCCTTGAATAACAGAGATTTGAATGAGTTCAGCGCGGATGCGAGTCACTAAGGCGACGGATTGAGCCTGACCCGCAGGACCGGTCGGATTGGCCGAGTCGGGACACAGTACATCGGCCTCCAACTTTCAATGTGTGGATAGAGAGAACCACAGAATCCATTGTAGAGGATGAATAACACCAAGAGAGAAAGTGATGCAAAGTACAAGCAAACTCACAGTGGACGCATGCGTTCGGGAGTCCATAGGGAAACAGCCAAAAAGAAAGAATTGAAGGAAATGTTGCACAGGATGTTCAGGAAAAAGCTTATCTTATGGAGTAATTTCTCCGTGTCAGGCAAAACTAAGTGTAGTGAGACTTTCACTAAAGAGGGAAAGTGTTGTGAATACCAAGTTGTCATCGTGGACCAGTTGCGAAAGGCGTCCGTACCCGATGAATGCTCCTGCTTATATGAACTGGTATGTCACTGCGGAACAGGCTACACAGACAGGACACAGGAGTAGGTGCGCAAAGATCAGCGTGAATGTGCCCATCACCTCTATACCTCACATAGGTGAGTTTGCAGGGGTAGCAGGTTTCTGCAATGTACGAACAACGGATGAAGCGAGGTCCGGTGGCTAGATACGCTAATATCAAAGCTAGAGTAGTAAGCCGAAGGGAGACAAAGTTGCTTTGGACACGATAAGCCACCAATCTTAGCTGCTTTCGAGGACGATGTGCCGTTCCTATTCGAATGAACCAACTAACCACTGTGTATGAGATCCACGTGAGGGGTCTAGCAGAGCGAATCGCAACCACTAAATGGACGATGGAGAAGACCACCGTCTACTAGACTAACCCATCAAGCGGGAAAAACACGAAATTCCACGACTGGACTGCAAACCCAGGAGCGATTTTGCCGGTTCATCCAAGGGTAAGCATAAGTACAACACCTAAATCTGCCACTACTTCCTCGTAATCAGTGCTCAGCTCCCAAATGCTTTATAGTGTCAGGTTAATTTGTGGGCACCCTATACTCTGTGTGCAGCAGTGTAACGTGTAAGTAAGTGGAAAGTGACCCAGACTAAAGCATATGGAGTGACTAAACCAATTGGCCGTTGCATTCCCCAGTGGCCCCGTAGTCTAAAGTGCAGACACTCGTAAGAGTAGACATGCGCCAGCTGTCCCTCCGGTACAATTTGACCGTATGATCAGTAGGTCCGTCTTGCATTGATATGAAACATGCAATTTGTTTATTTAAAAGCGCTACAAGTCACAATTTTATTTAGTTGTTCGGAAAGTTATCTCGTTTTGTATGAAAACGAAGGACAACTTCCTTATAGTAAATAAATATTTTATTGAATTATATATTGTCTATGCTGGTCAATACGCTTTGCCATCTTTCTGGCAGTAGAACGATTGCATGCTCACAAAAGGCTTGTTTTTTGCTGACAAAAAACTGATCCAGGTGATTTTTGACACCCTTATTTGAAGTAAAAGTTTTACTGGGAACAAATAATAATCAGAAGGTGCCAGATCTGGTGAAAATGGTGGGTGTGGCAGTGCATCGCATCCAAGCTGTAAAAGCTTGTGGCGAGCTACCAAACTTGTATGTGGTCTCCTATTAGCTTGGTGGAACACTACACCTTCCCTATTGATTAATGCCGACCTTTTCAGTTTAAATGAATTATTCAACTGGTCCAGTTGATGACAGTACTGAATAGATTGTTGTGTTGGCAGGTAGAAGTTTAAACGAAACGATTTCTTTGAAATACTACTAAACAGATAGCAACGTCATCTTTGATGAATATCGGCTTTCGGAGTGGTTTGAACCGGTTCATAATTTTTATTCCATGATCTCTTGTGTTTAAAATTGTTGCAGGCAACCCATTTCTCGTCCCCAGTGATAACGCGTTTCAAAAATGGATCATCTTCCTGATGCTTGAGAAGCGAATCACAGATGTCAAGGCTACAGCACAATTTTCTTTTTGTAAGAACATGCCGAGCTTTGAAATAGAACCTAGACGTTTCGAATGATCATGAACGGTGGAATTCGAGAAAGTTAATCCCTCAGCGATCTCATGAGTTATTATTTGCCGGTTTGCACCAATTAATTAAGAAAGCAGTTAATCAATGGATCAATCAAATAACTAATTAATTAATCTGGCAAAGCAGTTTTGGCGCAGGTGATCTGTCGATACATCTTCTCTATACACACCCGATAACTTTTTCTCGGTTTAACAGCAATGCACCTTTAGATAATAACAAGATAAAATATGCCGAGAATGCCGCTTTTCAATTTCCATATTTGAAAGAGCACCAACCGAAAATTACTGTGTAGAGTCAATTGAATTTTAGCACCAGCAAGTCGTGTTACATCACCTGTCAAAATGTACAATGATTATGCGGATTAAGTGCGAAAATGGTTTCGAAAAACTAATGATAAAATAAAACGAAAAAATGAAATTACTTTCCGAAGAACCCAATACCAGCGTTAATTTTTTATATTTTAAATTCTTTAACTGTATTCTTGCTTATTGTATTGTTGGCTGATCTCAGTGGGTGACGGAGTGAAGCTTCCAAACCAAAAATAATACCCACACACAGCGTAATGTCATTGACTCACTAAGTCATCATTAAAAGTGTCATGCTCGAAAAATCCATGTGGCGAAACAGGTGGTAGATTTCATCGCCCACAGCACAGCAGAAAAAACAGCGCTGAAATTTTGCTTGCTATTTTGCCACACTGGCACGCAACCAGATGTAGCACGGAAATGCGGGTGAAACCGTTCGAGGAGATACCATGCAAGGAAGTAGGTCTCCTGGAGACGGTTCCACGGTTAAATCTGCACTTGTTAATGTTCGCAATTCGCACAATATTTCTAGTACATCCTACTTGTCACCCACTCTAAAAATCCGAACTATTACCTGCTTTATGCGAACCTGCTGTACAATCTGATCCGACCATTTAATTGGACTGTGCCTCGCACTACCGTGGGATATACCGGCTGTCTAATGCCTAGCCAGAGGTGTGATGGCTGTTTGATTGAGTCTGGCGGAGAGGAATTCATTTAGATTCTACTGATACTACTCCGTTGTAACCTTGATATTCACATGGAACCTGAGCGTCAGTGCGTATATATGAGCTACCCTACCGCAACGGGGCACGCTGAATCCGTTTGACAGAGCCTCAGCTGTAAGTAGCGTTAGTAGGTGATCTGTGCGGTGGCAGTTACGCACGCGACATCGAACACGAACGTGTGGCATGTGATGTAACAATTGCGCACTGCACCGTAGGCATTATTCGAACGGATGTGGTAGCTGCGCCTGCGTCATTCACCTGTACTACGCGAGCTTAATGCTAAGCAGCTATTGCAAACATCACTGACGTGAAGATACAAAATGCATGAACCGACACCAAGTCTTATGTTCATGCTGTGTTTCACAAATAAACATACGTCATAGAGAAGGTAGCCGCTTTTGAAGCGGCCAAGACACACAAATGTGACCGCTAGGTGGGAAACTAAGTACAACCACAATAAGAAGTGTTGGTACTCATTGCTTGCCAATGAATAAATGTCAATATAGCAAAGGACTCACCAAGAGTCGCTCCAATAGCAATGCGAGGGATGTGCCTACCGGACAGCCGGAGCTAATGGGTGCACCGGGGTTGTGGAACACGGTTATCAGTTCGTCCAAGTGAGTGATTAACACTGCTGACAAACGAGCCCAAACAGCGGTGTGGTCGGTTGGATTCCCGTCCGCAAAGGTTTGCTGTTCCAGATCGGCAACGAATGCAGCAGAGAGTATCCAAAATGGATGAGCACTCCATTGGAGATAGTCCACGTGGTCGTGAGGGGATGACTGGAGAGTACAAATTTCCAGCCAAAGTGTGAACAGCATGGAACGATGTGTCCCGAATAAAGCAGAAAATTCAGCATCCGACAGTGAAAAGGAATTGGAGGGTAAGTTCGGTGGATTGGAATCATCATCAGAAGGAAGGTCGCTAAGAATGCGATCCTTGAGACCCTGAAGAACTCCGGTGGAACGAAACCATGCCCACGAGGCAACGGAGCTCAGTGTGACAAACCTGTCTGCCCACCCCAATGAAGACGTGGACGGCTGCGATGCATAAGTGTGCTATCCGACAAAAAATCGTGGTAAAAACGAAAAATGAGTGCCGTGGACAAAACTGTCATGAAGACATTATCTAGCTAATCATGCTGCAAGATGGAGTTCAAGGGGTCAACTACAATAACGGCCAGAAACCCACTTGACGCAATCGCGAAGGCAGTGGAGTCTATGAGTTCAGCTTGCGAACAACCCTTTCTCTTTGAAGTCCTACACTTAAGTACTTTCATTCTCTTGCTCCCCTATTTTCATGATTACTGATAATCATTCTGATTCGTAAGGTGAGGTGACAACAGTAGTAAAGGCACCACAACGACTAGGGGCGAGACAAAATGGCCTGTAGTGTTAGTCAGTAAAAGGAAAGAAGAGGGCAGTCACCCCAGCTTCCTGGCGAGCAAATGGAATGCGCATACGGATGGATTCCACATCAGGCAAAAGCATGTTCAGTGAATCGTCAGTAGTGTGGCGGCTGTCTGACAGGGTGCAGATTTAGCGAAGGCCCAGGGTAAGCTGTTCGAAACGTATGGCCTAGTATGTACGAGAAAATAGCAACTTAGTCAGTTTTTCAAGTCTGAGGGCATGTATTCACATGTGTAATGTGTACTAGGTAATGATATCCATCACACACAAGGAACTGAACATTTGAATCAGTGAAGTGCTGCGTTTTGCCGACATAAAGAGCACAAAACTGGAGTATGTCAAGGGAAATACTCAAATATGCTTGTTGACAAGCGGAGGGTACAGGTCGACGACCATCTAACTGACTGATATCCCTCTACAAGTGGCGTGCCTCAAGGCACTGTGCTGGGGCCCACTCTGTTCCTGATCCACATCAACGATCTACCTCAGCTTCGCCGGTCGCCGTGCCTTGTTTGCGGACGACATGAAGATTTGGAAAGAAATCGACGCTCCCGATGACTGTGGCCTACTTCAGCAAGACCTCAACCGCCTATCCACATGGTCTGCAGAAGTTCTTCTCCCGGTCAACCCAGCCAAGTCTGTATTTATGAGCCTGGGGAAGGGTGCTAATGGCCGAACCTACACTCTTGACGGCCAAACGCTATATCCCACACCCTCCGTGAATGACCTAGGTGTACTCTCACGCTACGATTTGAAGTCCGTTGACAACACGAACAGGCTATATCGTAACGGACTGCGCATGCTTTGGGTGCTCAAACGTAGCTTCGGCACATGGTCTGAAGAGGTTGCCACTCGCCTGTTCTCTTCCATCATTAGACCAATGCTAGAGTACAGTTCGACCGCCTACTTTCCGATTACCCGAGGAGAGGCACAAAAGATCGAACGGGTCCAACACGTTGCTACCAGGCTGATCCCGAGTTTACGTGGCTTTGGGTATGAAGACCAGTGCGAGAAACTAGGACTCTACACCTTGTCCTACCGTCGGGTGCGAGCTGACCTCATTATGACCTACCGTATCCTATATCTCGGTGACTTCCTCATGTTAAGGCCAATGCTGCACTTACGAGGGCCATGCAGACACAGATATAAACTTGTCGTGCCGGATGTGAAATGTGATTCCCACCCACTGTGCTTCGAACGGAGAGTGGTAAGTATTTGGAACAGTTTGCCTGAACATGTGATTGAGGCATCATTTATGCAACAGTTCAAAACGTTGTTAGATTTGTATTTTGCCACTATTCGATTCAGAGAACGACTGCACAGTTACGATGACATATCACCTTTGCGAATCCTGAAATATCGTAAGTCGAATATTTTAAATATTACATGAGAAGGACAATGATATTCACGGTTGACAACTTTTATAACGTTTTTCACCATATTTCGAAAGAGTTGTACAGAATCCATTTCTACTTGCTCTATAATAGAGCATTCAGTATTCAGTATCTGAGCGATAATTATACAGGTATCAGCAGTACGCCGGTACGCAGCACCGATGCTTCGCTGCCACGCAACTACCACCAGTCGCGCGTGGGCTAAGGATACTACGATGGTGGTCAGGTCATTACGTCGACTCGAACCCACGACCACCGGGGTGCAAGGCAGACGCATTGTCCTTTCGGCCACGGTCTAGCAGGTAGTTCAGGCATCAATTCAAGAGTGTTCATCCTATTGGGACAGTCAAACAGCATCCGAACGTTGACGTGTGAACGTGTGGCGCTTATTCACTCGACTCGAAACTAGAACTAAGATAGCGGAAGTCACAGTTGACTTAGTAGACACACCAGTCGACATGGGCTAGACAGATGGATAAGATTACTGACAATTACATGATAACTCATTGTAGCCGCCTTGTGATGAACTGATGCACAATGGATCTGCAGATAAATGCAGGAATGCAAGGGCTAGGTAGCTTCAGATACACACGGTCAACTAACGGCAATCGTATTTACCCCGTCTATAGCTTGCAATGGTAGGTGGATGGTGAAAAAAGCAAGGGGAATCAGTCATGAGCAATTTGTGTTTTCAAACGCTGCGTCGGGTCAAGCCGCACAAGAGGCACTAACACTCTTCAAAGTCATTAGCGGTTAGAACTACCGGCCATGTATACCAAGAGCCGAAGACAAGGTGAGATAAGCAGAGGGAGAAACCGTTGACCAGATACCCACAGTTCCCACCAATGCCTTTGGCAATTCGTTAGTTATAGAGAAACCAAGTTGGTCACCAATCGCTGATGATTAGTCACTGTGGGCGTGAATAGTCGCAGGAAGCATGTGACCACCAGGTGGAGATTACGCTGTGAAATTCATACGTACCCTCCAGAAGGAATAAGATCTAGAAGTGCACGGATAGGAGCCGCGATTGGTTCTAAGCAGACTAGCAGTCGAATAATGTACAAGGAGGCCAATACATAATGGGAAGATAGATACCACATTGGACTGATGAATTATCGCAGGGATAGTGGATGGAAGGTCAATCAGCCATCACCCATATAAGTCAGCTAACAGGGCACAGACCGAACAGACGACGCAGCACTGTTGCGGTCCAGTATAGAAGAAGCCCAACGTGTTCCGACACAAGGCATGTGCGTAGATTAAGTGGAATGTCAGCGAGTGAACAGCGTGCCTGGGGGTTAACGAACACAATCGGATGGCACAGAACAGACACCAGTAAATAGGAAGTGAAAAGCAGTTACAGTGAGGTCATGATACAAATTTCATTTGGTATAATGAAGACTTCCGTGCTTGAAGCACAGGAGGTTAATCGCTGTTAAGGTTCCGTTTTTATGCCTCGGGAGCTAATAAGTAGATAAATTTGTAAAGGATTGGTTTTGGACTTAAACTATTTAAATGCAAGCAGAGGTTGAAATATACAGCTGCTGACATACCAATGACGAGTACGTTACCAGTGTTTAAAGAATAAGGTGACCCCAGCTGTCGGCTCCCGATACGCGTCGTGCCCGTGAGGCAAAATCTGTTGACAATATGCCAAGTCACCACTAAATTGAAGAGATTCGCACTAGTAACGAGCCAAGTACGGACGGCACGACGGTGAAGGAGACATGCAATCAGACCGAAGATAGGAAAAGAACCCGATGGTTAGTCCTAGTTGACGGTAGAGACAATCGAAAAGAAAAAGTATAAATTATACGACAGAGAATACCTTGAGAACGATTTTAAATGATTGGAACAGCGTGCTCTGATGCCAGTTCGTGACGTGTGGCTTCGATGATAACAAACTGGGGATGTAACTGTTGTGGATCCACATTGTGATTTGTAACAACGCCTCCAGCAGAGAGACACGGTCGAGCGATTGAGACCATCCGGGTTGTGTCAGACAATCATGTAAGGAGACCAGTAAGCCCGAACAGCTGTATGGCTGTGCAAGACAGGCGTCCAAGCAAGCTCCAACAATCAACGGGACGAAAGTTGAGCCCGCGATCGGATGCAGTTGTCCGTATTTGTGGAGGTGGAAGACACGTGATAGGCATTGGGCAAAATCTGGACACGTTACAGGCAGAGTAGACGTGGCGTATTGATGGAAAAGAAGTGAGAGAGTGCGCAAAACTAAATTCGTCTGTTGGCAATCGATGACAGTGTTCACCAACCGATACACACTCGTCTCAGAAGAGGGCGCTGACGATTGGCCAAACAGTTGCATGTTCAACGAGATGAGCAGAAATGATGCCACCGGGTTGCGTTCCAGATGCATCGAAGAGAGCAATTTCCACACTCGACTCAGGTCGTTCGTGTTCCCGAGTGAATGTGACGGTTGCTGATGAGCCAGAGGAGCAGCACAACCGGGTAAATGCAAGCGAAGCAGGAGATCGACGCACCAAGACAACATCAGTTTCGAAGCATCCACACTCCCGTCTACTTCCGAGGTGGGTGCATTGCTCTTCGAACGGCGGGAATCGAACGGGTATGATGAGAGCAATACGTCGGATCGACGCGACAACCCACGTGGCTGACGATCCGTGGCTGCAGTAACGGGCCGTTGTATTTGCAGCTGCCGGTAGCCGAGGCTTGTGAGAAAAGCACCGACGGCGAACGAGGCCGACGACTTGGTGGAGGACAATACTCGGTTGACCTGGAAAGGAGACCGAACAGGGAAATAGCAGTAAAATGACTCGCCAAATGACTAGGCATCATTAATGCAAGTAAGAATTAGTCGACTGGGAGTGATCATTGCGGTCCAAAAGCCCAGACCACAACATTATGAGGGCGGGGACAAAAACAGCAGATTCAGTAGCAGATCAGTCCAAATAGACAGAAGGAGAAAGCGGTAACGGATAGTGAATCCTCAGTACAATGCGATTGTAAGCAGTTGTACGCGGGCCGTCCAAATCAACCCAGGAAGTCGGATATGAGCTGTGGAAGATTAGTGTCATAAGCGTCTGTTGAAATGTTCGTTGACTTACAACATCGTTAAAAAGGTTTTGTTAGAGAACTTATCACAGTCCACTCTCAGTACGCAGGCTTTGTCAAGTCTGGAACAGCACCAAACAACGCCACTAATTGCTGCCATCTGGAAGTCACGGGGTCGGAAGCCGGCAGGGGTCAGATGGAAGGCGCACAACTAACGAGACCCAGAAGTTCGAAACAGTGCTGTGTGGTGCATTTTCAGACTTGCCAAAGACTGCTGACTGAGGGTGACTGTGATGAATTACCTCTAATTACACTAAAATCCCCACTACTCATTAGTAATCTAAAGTGTTGTTACCAATCCAGGTAACATCATCAGGCATTGAGGTGTAGTGGAGATGAGTGATGTATCATTGGACCACCAAAATTTGCTCAAATATCAAGGACTATAATAAATACATTTCTCGGGTGTTAGGAGAAATACAAATGCGGATATTTAATAAGCAGAATGAGCTCACACATAAGTATGGATAAGAGGAATGGAACAAAAAGAAATGCACAATATATATACGAGAGAGATGTAAATAGGTATACATAGACCTGGCGCAAGTTTCACACAGGTTTTCGTATACGTGCCAATAGGTCATTAGTGAAAGGAGAATATAGAGTGCATGTGACAACTTGGAGCTAAATGGCAGTTCCGTTCTAGTGGGAAGTGCCGACAATGAACGAATGTGGAATGAAGGGTGTAGTGGGAAGGGGAGTGAAGGGGAGTGAAGCCACTTGTGCGCTAAATGGTATAATCTGGGATCTGGTATTTTTAACGCTTGAAGTTGGCGCATATTGTACACATCTAGATCCGTTTAAATAGGTGGTGTGATGTGAAATGCTCTACATAAAAGAACACATGGTATTTATTGCATGGAGATTCATATGCAATAACGTTGGAGTGGATTGGCTGTTGAAGAAGGTGGTACCATAAAAAACAGCATATTCAGATGTAAAAAAATGTAAAATGTAAAAAAATGTGATACATAGTCTTGTGGTTGGGTGCTTCAAATCCTAGCCAACATTTCGAGACGCAGACGGAAACCACTGTTACCAACTCAGAGTAATTAAATCTATGTGTTCCACCCGGGACTTGTGTCAAACAACATTCTTAATCTATGATACGGAAGGCGAAAGTACAATGATGACCATGGTGTAGACACGTGTGTTGTACTGAGCGGATCTCGATAGGAAACCTTTGGAGACTTTCACTATACACACTTTGAACGATAAAGCCGCAGTATTCTAGGACTGATCTTGGTATAACTGTCTGGTGGGAGCATCGTTATGAACTTGCTGACACCATGCCAAGGGACTGCCTAGTTTAGTCTATCTTGCTTCATAAAGTTAAAGCAACATTAGTCAAGATCCGGAGGGCTCGCATCACGGGTGTCAAAGAAGCCCTGTGGAATGTTAGACAATGTTTAAAGGAATAGATCACCGTGATACAGTCCACAAAGACCGCATAGAGGAGATGAGAAACATGTGAGCGAAGGGTGAAATGAAGGAGATATGCGTTAGATATGAGTACTGTTTACGAATACTGAATATGAATGTGGATGACTTACTACGGGATGATAAACGATGGCGTTGAAGCGACTGGGGTAGAGGAGGCGGTTGTCAACCAACTGAGCGAGGGCCAAAGCAAGATCCAGATGAAGGCGGAACGGAATAAACGGTTCACCTGTGTTCTGAGTAACACGAGCACAGAGACAGTGGACGCAGGGGGATGATTGACAATAGCAAACATTGGCACAGAAAGCGAATAAGCAAAAAACAAACTCGGACGACCAACAGTGTCAGGAAGGAATTAAACTCCCAGAACTCATGATCTCCGTGAGAAAACTATATGGACCAATAATGTGTTCCAGAGACATTCAAGGCTATCATATGACAAATGCACTTAACTACTATTGGTAAGAGCGGATCTAAACTACTAATTTTAGCAGCTGACATGCCGTTTCAGAAACTGAACATACTGGAGAGAAAAAAGGCATCAGCAGTACGACGACACACCGCTATTACGTGACCACCAAAGGTCGTGCGAGGGCTGGGTATGCCGCGACGTAACCAGCACCTACATATGTTCGAACCGCTGACTTCCAGATTACAACGCGGGCACATAATCCATTTGGCCATAGTCTGAAACATGTGCACTATTTCTATCGCCTAGTTAACTGGTTCAGCAGCAAACTTTTAATTCAAGCAGTTACCTTCTGGTTATATATGGTTGGCGGCATCCGGTTTCAGATTTGCCTGTCACTGTGGCAAGCCACAGGACACCTGCGCCTACAGAGGGACCATGGATGGCTTGCACTGCACCACCCACACACCCCATATCCAGTGTAAGCACGAAGGAATAAGACCGGGAGGCAAGTGGATGGGAGCCACGTTTCATCCACCGAGCCGGCCCACACTCCTTCACAGGCAAACACAAGCACGTTGTATTTGGGGAATCAAGCGTACACAAGGCGGTGGCTGGACCGTAGTCCGCTCCACACTGAGTGCATGTAACCACTCTTCGAGCCTAGCACGACCACAAGGATAATGCAGTCCGTCCCCTCCAGCAACGACCAACTGTCTCCTGGAGCCAGTATGAACGATGTAGTGGGTAACAGACAGGTAGGCACATTGTCAACATACACATCAAGCGCAACCATACCAGGGATATCAAACAACAGCCATTCACTTTAAACGACAAGCGGAAAGAAAATAAATCCAATAATGCATACAAATACGGTGGCATAACTCTAAGCTAAATAAGCATATGAAGTAAGTTGGTTAGCAACGAATCCGTGATAAGGAAAAAATGTCCACAAGTTAGTTAAAAAGGCTACAAAACGCAACTAAGTTACCGAAGATAAGCGCAATTAATGGAAGCAACGTGGCCAGTTAATAGAAGAGTATTCAGGTAGGCAGATTAAATAAAATAAAGTGGAATGAAATTTAGCCAGCTTAAAAAGACCTAGTTTAAGTGTAAGTTGGTTTAACCTAACTGCGGTAAAGAAGCACCATGAATGCAACATCAGCCTCAGCACGGGGCTCTGGTTATATATAAATATATATATTCATCAGTCTGAAAACAGCCAAACTTGGTGTCAGAGCCATAGTAGTAAAGGGAAGATTCGTTAAACAAACAAGAGAAAACGACGGCATAGAATATCGGGCATTACTAATGTTTCATACGCGTCGCTTTTAGTTTCCCTGGCGGTTTAAGATTAAATCCTAAAACGTAGGGTAGCATTGATACTTTTGATTTCTATTGCGAGCCATAGTATTCAATAGTTATAACCTTAGGTAGTTTGTGTCTCCTAGTCCCCAAGCTAAGAGATAAACAGATTCAAGGTGTTTCTTTTCTACCTCATCGGTTACCCACTGCGACTATTCTTTTGTTGGTATCCAGAAAGTGCAAATAATGTGCGACAAGGAAGGCAGTGGGCTGGGTTGCGCAGTACGTGGCACAGCCAACGCAGATGAAGTGAGAGACAGGAACTGTTCGCTTCGAGCTATTGGTTTCTAACAACCGTATTGCTTACATGGGGAAGCCATCGCAACTGTTCGCAAAAGGTGGGCCCCAGAGAAGCAGCAGTTGAGGTGCTAGTGTGGAATGAGGCTACTGTGTGCTGCTGATGTCCTAAGCCACCACGCGGATTGTTTAAAGACAAAAATGGTATTAACAACTGAATGCAGTCTGAGGACAGGTTTCACAAATTAGCAATAATAATCGACTTGAATAGGTGATGGTATGCGACAATCCTGAATGCTAGAAGTAGAAATTCATCAAGTCCAGACTCAGTCAGACAGTCAACACAAGATCGGTAAAGCACTGACGCGCGGTTCATCAGTTCGGGAATCATCAGCAGTGCGCATTCCATCTGACTTCTGTGGAACTAGAACCCGCAACTCCATCGTTGCCAGTCCGTGGTTGAGACCACTGAACTAGCGGGGACGGCAACGAACATGGTGAAAAAGTTACTAGATGTGATATAGCGCCGCTCACTATGCAGTGACTTGCACGTTACTAATGGGCAGAAGACAGGGTAGCCCCCATACTAAGCGACGAACGTACCAAACATAAGCCGCCAACTAATCTATGGCATTATAAGCAGTTTGGCCTGCGTATTGATTACAGAGGAGTAGTAGGGGGAGTTGAATGGTATAAGTAGAAATTCATCCCGTCTAGACTCAGTCAGACAATCAACACACGATTGGAAAAGCACTGGACGCGCGTTTCATCCGTTCGGGAACCGTCAGCAGTATGCATTCTATCTGACTTCTGTGGAACAAGAACCCGCAACTCGATTGTTGCAAGTCTGTGGTTGGGAACATTAAGTAACGAGGAGCGGCAGCAACCATCGTGACGAAGTTACTAGATTTGATATAGCGCCGCTCACTATTCAATGAGTTGCACGTTAGTGCCGTGCAGAGGACAGGGTAGCCCCCTTCACCAAGCGACGAACATACCAAACTTTGGCATTACAAGCAGTTTAGCCTGTGTGTTAATTACAGAGTAGTATGAGAAGGAATTTCTACTTATTACTATTATCTATTGCTCCTTTGTAATCCTGAAGGTCGGGTGCGTAACGATATAATCAAGTTAAACGAATGAAGAAGCAAGTTCAACGAAAAACATCTGATAATCAGCCGTGGAATACGCTTACTGAGTCGACTACCGACTCCCAATTCAGTCGTTGCAGAATAGTGCGGGCCAGTACATGCTCGAAGGTCTCTGGCGATCGGTCGACAAGCCAGGTAATGAGGGTAGCCACATGAGATGCTTCCGGCTGCAATAAATGCAACGGGAGTTCCGTGGAAAGAGCCACCAAAAGCTGAGAGAAGAACAGAAAATGCACAGAAAAAGCATGAGTGTAGATGGAGAAATATTCAAGAGTTAGTGTGGAATTCGACAAATACAAACGTTAAGTGTTTCACTAAGGAAGTAGGGAGAGTCACAGTAAGCATACGTGCTGACCCGGAGATAGAGACAGACCAAACGAATGACACCATCAGTACGCCGTACGGACGTGTTGCAGCCAAGCGATCACGACCAATCGCAGCGCGTGGGCGAAAGATGCCATGAGGGTGCATGGCGCCTCCAGGGCAGATTCGAACCAGTGACGCCTCGCCCTTTTGAACACCGGCCGGTTGGGATAGAAAGAATAGCACTGGGCTCAAATTTCCGTAGGCAGCAGCATTCCATGAGATAGAATGCCAAGATATTAGGCGTGGAATGTCACTGTGTGCAAAGGATTGTCAAATGGAAACAACAACCGCGTACAACATCACAGAGTGGCTGTGGCGTTCAACGGTAAACTCAGTTGTACAATTGATCGTCTGTTTGTGAATAAATATATGTTGAAGATGCGCATAGCGAATACAGTCCTTCATTTTACGTCAACTGTCAATTCAGCTTTAAGGCTCGTTTGTCAAATCCGTATGAGCACGATGTTCAGCCGCGCCAATTTGGTGTTAAAAAAAGTTGAAGCATACACAATTCATTTCGTCCACAAATACCGGCAATGTAGAAAACTAAGTCAGTTGGACACTGGAAACTATCAGGAGTGGATTTGTTGTCGGAGAGCGGAGCGGCTGACTCTGTCATTAGGGAGCACATTTACTTTGTGGGACGAGTAAAAAAGCCTATTAGCGCCTACGCTAACCTACACAGCTCAGCGCGATCAAAATATACTGTGTTATGGACGACTACACCCTTGGTTTCGCAGGGTCAGAAGATACGTGACGAAATGCAGTACTGCGTACCATCCACGGGAACCGAGCCCCGCTTTTTTCAACCAGTTGGGATACTATCGTTTCAATTGAGGAACGTCGATGATTGTGGCGCTCGGGACACAAAAATGTGACATGCCACTGTGAATGGACAAGATATACTGAAATTGGTGAAAGACCCAATTGGGTGTACACGGTATCGATAGCAACGAGGACGAATTAAGAAACCTTCAAGGGAGTGCCCTGTAAAATCGATTAATGAAGACGTCGTGGGCTACAATCAGTGGAGTCAATGATGGAAATAGTGAGAATGTGGTACACTATTAATGAATAGGATGGTGAAATGAGCAGGTGCGATGAACTCAGCGAATAATGGATCACCGCAGATGACGGGCGCGTAGCACATGATTCAACTAGCCCTGAAAATGGATGGCGTTGAAGCGTCGAATCCATACTGTATCGTCACGGCAACATGAGTCGATAGCACAAGGCGCAGCGTGGAATCAAGTGGCACCACGAATAATGTACGCAAATGAATCCGATTGTTCTATGTTGGAAATATGTTCCTTCTCAAATACATAATTCGTTCGCACCGCCCCGCCTTCTCCGCATTTGGTGCTGTGAACAGCCAGACGTGGAAGATGGATATCCCGTGGACAGAACCATTTGAGGATGGCAATGTACGGAGATTCCTGGAGGACTTCGAAGATGTCGCGGAAGCAGTCGTGGTGAAGCAGGATCGGGCGAAGCTGGTTGCGCTTCGGAGTCTACTTAAGGGAAGGGCAAAGGAGATCCTGAAGGCGGCAAGAAGAGGACCAGTCAAGTTGAAATGGGCCGCCGCGGAGGCGCTGATGGCAGGGTTCGACAGTGTGGCCGATCGCCAAGATGCGATGCGACGGTCCAAGGCGGTTTGGGCTAGGAGCGGACCCGGTCGTGCTTGCGGTCCATCTCGGCAGGTTGTTGGATCGGGCGCTTCCAGATTTAGATGACGCATCAAGACAGCAACTGTAAGTGGATCAGTTTCTGGACAATGTACCTCCAACAGTTGCGGATTGTGAATGCCACCCAGAGAACGGGCGTGCTGGAACTAGCTAGAGTGACAAGTGAGTTGGTACAGGAGATGGCGGCAGCATGGCGAATTGAAGAGCGAAAAGATAGCGAGCGAATGGACAGGTTGGAAGAGAAGTTGGAGCAGATTACGCAAGACATCGGACCAGTTAGAATCACCCATGAGAGTACGCGATGCTCCTTTTGCGGGAAACTGGGACACCGGAAACGGCAATGCCCAACAAGGCGTAATACACTTTTTATACCAAATAAAAGTTACCAGCAGTATTGTTCTCGTGTTGGAGAGTGTATACTTGGGACCCTGAACAAATGTGTGATTGAAGCGATGGTAAAGGTGAATGGAGCAACAGAGGTGTTTAAACGATACATGAGCCGCAGTCTTTTTGATTAACCATCGAGATGGAATAAAATCCCAATCGTTTTCTATGGTGAAGGCGGTCGGTGGTTACCGATATACGCATAAATGGTATGGCAGAGCACGTGGTTCGTATGGCGAGTAATAAGTTCAACCATCTCTTCGTTGTATCGCCGGACGAGGAACAGACCATTCTGTGGGCAGACTTACTGTAAGCCAATGAGGCCATCGTCGAACTAAAACAATGAAAGCTGATGACGAAATACGGGTCTATACCCTTCGCTTGTAGAGAAGGATCCATACGAGTGTGCTTATTCGTTGAAGTTTTACACACTAGTATGGCCTTGCAGTCGTTTGTCGGTAAATACAAACTTCTCTTCACGGACGATAACAGCCCCTACGAGTTTTGTGATTGGCTCGAACACACAATTCCGCTTTCGCGGCAGCCGTATCGGCCGCATGGACCCAGAAGAATACCAATCCACCTGGAGGTCGAGAGCAAAAGGCAGGTTCAGGAGATGTTGAATGCGGGTGTGAACGAGGAGGCGCACACCTCGTATAACTCCCCAGTCATTTTGGTGAAGTAGGCCAACGGAAAATACCGCTTTTGTATGGACTCCAGAAGGTTGAACGAAATCTCGCTGAGTCATTTTTGTCCCCGGGGCCATCGTTCGCAGACATTTACGACAAACAGCAGAATTCAAAGCTATTCACAGTACTAGATTTTTGATCTGACTACCGGTAGCCAGCGATCAAACAGGAGGACCGCGAGAAAAGCCCGTTTACAGTTGGTGAGAAGCAGTACCAATTTAAAAGGGCGCTGTTTGGATTATCTGGTGCGTCGTTCACTTTCCGGCGTTTGATGCTCCGCCTGATGGATAGAGTAGAGAATGTGGCCGTGTATGGAGAGGACATCGTGATATACAGTGAAGCAGAAGCAGTACACTGCCGTCATTTGGAAGCAATGTTGCAAAGGATCCAACAGTCGGGATTAGGGATAAATGGTCCTAAATCTCAAGTTGGGAAAACGTCCGTGACACTGATTGGTCATCAGGTGGGTCAGGGTGAGCTGAAGTCATTGCCGGAGAAAATATTGACAACTCGAAGAGTAGAGAGAGTGCTTGCGAAGTCGACGGCGCACTTTAGGGGGGATTGTGGTGCACTACTAACGAGTGGTATGGTGAAACGAGCAAGCGCGATGAACTCAGCGAATAATGAAACACCACGAACGACGGATACGTAGTGCACGATTCAAGTAGACATGAAAATAGTTGGCGCTGGAATGTCGAACCTATACTGTATCGTCACGGCAAGATGAGTCGCTAGCAAAAGGCGAGGTGTGGAATCCAGTGGCATAACGAATGATGTACGCAAATGAATCCGACTAACTTAGAAATGTTATACAATGCATACGTTCGTTTTCAAATACCTAATTCGTTCGCACCGCCCCGCCTTCTCCACAAGAAGGCCACGCTTCCAGCAGTGGCTTATCAACTCAGTTGATGTTCGTTGAGAATCAGTTGACTGTAGTCCAGGCATATCTGCGCAACCCAAACACGATGGTATAAAAATGTACGACATACTAGGTATTCCTGGAGGTGTGAAGTAAGTACGATTTGCCCTGGCATATGAATTAGATAACGGTAACTGGTTTATGACAATACTGCAGATGCGAAGGATTTAAGAGCACAAAGCAAAAAGTGAACCCAAAAGCATGCAGTGAAAGTTATGTTGAGTACCGACTGATGCGACATACAGTATAAATGATGAAAGCCGTGGCAAGAAGAGAAGACGAGAAGTCAGGGTGAAGAATGAGGAGTCTGAATTTACGAAAGCAATAGAGTAATCCGAGTGTCTGTGATGGTAGAGGGTTGCTAGAGATCTACGTAAGACCAGTGAAACCAATGAAACACCGCTCTCGCGAGCTGATCACAGACGTATGATGGTTAGGAGCAGGACAGAATTTATTCGGAGATAGCATGGGCGAAAAGAAGTGATCGCAGACCAAAGCAAACTGGACTGCTCTGGACAACTGTGGGTGAACAGCATACGTGCACACCAACGAACCTCGGCTGCCGACATCGCATATAATGGCGGTTGATTAAATGAGCGATCGGAACTGATGCCAAACAGAAAACGAATCAAGTGCCATCAACAGGAGATGGATAGGATCATTCGAGTCAGAGGGACAACAACGAATCGACGCTGCCAAGCATGAACCAAATTTAAAGTAGTCTCGGGCAGGGAAGGCATGGATCGTGGGTCTATCATAGCGAACGAACAGCGCGTGTGAGCCAGTGCACACAGGCTGAGTACATGGGGTGACGATGAGAAACATACAATGGGAACCAGTCACATCGAATTGGCACATCACATTTGTTTGTAGCATAAATGACCCAATGGTTTGTGGACAGGAAATTATGATCGCGGCTCAGCTTGTTAGTGATGTACGGTTGGCTAACAAACGGCGATCACGTAGCTATAAAATAAGAGGTAGAATGAAGTAAAACGAAGAAAAACGCGGTTCGACTTGACCTGCCCAATAATAATAACAACGCATATATTGCTGATGATCTGAGAAACTGTGCCTGTACCCCTTCCAAAAATACTGTGGTCAGAACAAGTTAACAATGAAACGAAATCAAATGTGAGATACGAAAGCAAACTGACCTCTTGCACTCTAAAAGGCTGACCGGTTGGGCTTGGAACCGTCAATATGAATGACCTCCTGGAAGGCTTCAGTGGTACTTCACGAGATATCCGACTGCACACAGACACGATTAGATCGAACAGCAGAGGGAGTGAAATATGAGCATGCGCATAAGTGATACTGGTCAGCTGTATCCGGCCACATTCTGGGGCGACAGGCATTAATCCCAAGGCACCAGTCGGTTGGGAATCACCTTCATTTGCACAAGAAGTATGAAACACGGAGACCTGTAGAAAAAAGGAAGACAGAAATAGCAACCAAAAGTAGAAGCGAAATGTTGAGGCTGAGTAGAAAAAGAAATCGTTGGAAAATTCGCTTATCGTGACAGCATCAAGCCACAGAAAAGCTAAGAATTTTCTGTACATTCATAAACGTCTGACTGGTAGAAGTTATAAGACGAGCCATTTCGGTACATTAGACAGAGCAGGTAGGAAGCGTCTCTCTCTCTCTCTCTCTATACATATATATATATATATATATATATATATATATATAGGTTGTTGAACAAAACTTGGCGGAAGAGCCATGCAGATTCCGCCAATTGCAGAAGAAACGCAGAGAGCGACACCGGCCATTGTACATGGTGAACACCGAAGCATTATGGCTGGTTTTAGGTAAGTTTGCATGACGAGGTAAGTTAGTTTGTGTTATTGAATGTCTGCGCATGCAAATGCGCAAGGTAGAACCGTGTGAACAAACATCGATGTTGTCTCCGGTGCGAAGCAAGGCTGTATAATATTTATCTAACTACCATGACCTCATGAGCTTTCAATGCTTGTGAATACGATGTCCATTATGAGTATGGTATTAATGCTGCGCTGCTGAACATCTATGGTTCCTGCGCCAGAACCCGAGTGGGTGAAATAATCATGTTGGTGTTTGCAGAGGATTGTGCCTCGCTTGAACACAGTTAAAGTTGCAGCGCATGACAACAGCATTCGATTCGATGGTGGTTAGGTTCAGACTCACTCCCAACACCTGATGAGATTAAAAAAGATCGGAACGCGTCGTGTTGTGCGGTGTTTTCGGCCGGGCGACAACCAATTTGCATGCGTTTCGGCTACGGTCCAAGTGATAACAATGACTAAGATTCACTACAATGCGGAGCGCAGTCTAAAATGAGATTGCACGTCGCAATTCATTCATACAAGGAGCACTTTAAATGACCTTCCAAATAGGCAAAAGGATTTGTCTTATTCAGCCAGAACAAGGGTGGAATCCGTGGGCTGCCCACAAAATAAAACTGCTGACGAAGTTTTGCAGCTCTTGAAAATTTTGCTGCCTCGGGAGCACGCTTCAACAGAGTTGTACATGATCATTGAGCCGTGCAACAGGGCGTCAAGGACATGGGCGGTTTTCGCTAAGCTGCAATACCTGATGTGGATGGGTAATCAGCTGACTTTTGGACACCAAACTGACGACATACAAATCAAATGTGCTGCCGATTCGCTTCTACGTAAGTCAAACATGAACGCTGTACAAGAAAGACATTCGCTTGCTGGAGTAATTTGACCAGTAACGTCTGCACCGGATCTGCGCATCTGTTGGTGTGACAGGGTTCATGACAAAGAAGTGTTCCGAAGGAGTTGCATGTATGGAATGGAGTGCATGCATCTGCTAAGACACCTGAGGTGACTCAGACATGCCCACCCTATGGAGGCGGTCAGGATGCAGAAACGTACAAGGGAGCGAAATGTAGACAAGCCGAAGCAACGTTAGCAGGACACTGTCAAGGCGAGTTGATTTAGATGTTAGAAAAAATGGTAGTGGATCGCGATCAATGCCGGTCTCCTGGTTCACGAGAACCTACAGTAGCACGAAGAAGAAAAGACGCCAGTTACACAAGCAACAAATGCAGACGGAGCAGGGTCGTGTGCGCTACAACCGGGCCACGAAGGTACATTATTCAAGAAACAATGGGTATGCGCCAGGGTTTGAGAAGTGCGCTGCTTCCGTTTTAATTTACTAAGCCAGGCCAACAATGCAATTGATGAGGCACATGTACTGCAATTGGCTTGTGGGTGAGTGCATACCTCCGTGTCGATTTTACTGCTCGTCAATTGTTGGCAGTTGGCTGCGCCAAATATGAACGATGGCAATATGAACGATGTCGAAAACCACCAATGATTCCAGGAGACAGTTGCCGGGGAAGACAGGGTGCACCGTCCTCGAGACCGTGATAGGCTCAAACAGCGGCCACATGCAACAAGTGTGGAGCGGATTACGGTCCAGCCACCGCTTTGATTATGTCTGGTATGCATGTTTCTACAATTAGACGGATAGGATTGATGCTGCCCTGCTTGCTGAAAGTGTTGACTGGCTCCGCTAATGGAAGGTGCCACACATCCACATGCCTACCGGTCTTCTTCTTTCGGGTTTAAACCGGATATCTGCAGTGGGTAGGAGCTGTGGGTGGTCTAGCGCAAGCCACCCATGGTCCATCTGTAGGCGCAGCCGTCCCGTGGGCGCCCCCATGGAGGCCACAGGACGACTGCGCCTACAGAGGGACCATAGGTAGCTTGCGCTGCACCACCCACAGCTCCATCCACATACCCCATATCTAGTGTAAACCTGAAGGAACAAGACCGGGAGGCATGTGGATGGGAGCCACGTTTCATCAACGGAGCCGGCTCACACTCCTTCACAGGCAAACACAAGCACGCTGTATTTGGGGAATCAAGCGCACACAAGGCGGTGGCTGGACCGTGGTTCGCAACACACTGAGTGCATGGAACCACTCTTCGAGTCTAACACAGCCACAAGGACCGTGCACCCCGTCCCCTCCAGCAACAACCAACTGTCTCCTAGAGCCAGTATGGACGAGGTAGTTGGTAAAAGACTGGCAGGCACCTTGACAACATGCGCATCAAGCGCACCCACACCGGGATATCAAGCAACAGCCAATCACTTGACACGACGATATCAAATAAAATAAATGGAATAATGCATACAGATATCCCGACATAGCTCTATAATAAATGATCATATGAAATAAATTGGTTACGAACAAATCCGCGATCATTTCAATGCGTCAGAAAATATATTTTAAGAAAATGCCAAAAACGCGAAAAGGTTATCGAAGTTAAATAAAGTGGCGTAAGGGACGTGCGCAAGTTATCAAAAGATAGTTCAGGTAGACATTTACACGAGAAAAAAAGCATTAGCACAATATAGCAAACTCACCAGTTGAAATAAAGAGACTTAGCATGCATGCACGCAGTTAGTAAATCGGATGCAGTGTACCCACAAATGCTGCGACGCTTCTGCCTACGTTCTCACAAGGACTCGTCGTCGTTTGGTGTTGACGCCGAGTGGCGTCGCTCATGGCGAACTGGGTCCGCCAGACTCAGGCACTCGGGACCACATGTTCTACAGCACTATACGCTCGCTGTCGATGAAGTACAACCCCTCGGCGCCTACCGATTTCGCACTTACTGCCTCTTCTCTGCACGCATGATGGCTTTCTCTTGCACCTCGACAACGTCCTCCATGATCAGATCGCACCATGCTCGCCGATCAACCGCTTTCGATTACCATGACCTGCAATCAAGAGTAGAACGTGAGAGGCTCACTTTGATCATGTCCTGTTAACGAAGCTTCGGTTTCCCCACATGCGCTTCCCTACACTCAGCTGACCATATAATAGCTGTTTCGCTATTCGCGTAGAATCCATACGCCACATATGACCGCGCCTTCTCAGGTGTCTCAGCAAAAGCATGCAGTCCAATGCATACATTGCACTTCGGCGCAACATTTCCGTGTCCACAACCCTGTCGCAAGAACCAATGCGCTGGATGCGTCGCAGTCAGTGTTGATGGAACCGCTCGAGATATCGCACGTCCAGATGGTACATCGCCAACGTTTCGTTGCCGTGTAGAAGAACGGACAGCACCATGGATCTGTATATCATCGGCTTCGTGCCAACGGTGAGCTGATGGTTGTTCTACAAGCGTTACACTCGCTTCCAGAACGCCGACGCTGTCTTCGAGTTGCGGATACCAATCTCACTGTGTAGCTGCCAGTCAGCCGGCACCAAACTGCCAAGGTAGCAGAAACGGGAGGTGGTTTCTAATACTTCAGCAACAATACTGATTCGCGGCACCATTGTAGATTGCACCTCCGATGAAGGCTGAAAGAGAAAGACAGTTTTGCTTGTGTTGACAGTGAGTCCGAATTTGGCCGCTGTCGAAGCCAGAGCACTAGTCATGTGCTGTAACCAAACGGCGTTGTGTGCAAAAGCACAGGTGTCAGCTAACAATAACATACGGATGGTTGTCTCACAGACTAGGGTTCTCACACCGAAAGGACGGATGTGTAGCAACCCACCATCAATAGGGCGCTGCTCCACAGGAACACCTTAGACACAAGACATTATTGCATGAAGATAAATATTAAACAGGGCAGGAGCTAAGACACAGCCTTGCTTCACACCAGAAACAACTGCAACGTCATCCGAAATCTGTCCACTCAGATGCACCTTCGCCCGCATACCACTGTGCAGACATTCAACTAAACTTACAAACTTACTCGGACAACCAAAATTACCCAACAGAAGCCACAATGCCGCGCGGTTCACCGAATCGAATATCTTGATGAAATCAACAAAAAGCGAGTACAATGGCTGGTGTCGTTCTCTGCACTTCTCCTGCAACTGACGAGCTGCAAACACTATATCTATAGTGCTGCGACCCGAACGGAATCCATATAGCTTTTCCGCCACGTTCGGTTCCACAACCTGACTGACGAGGCAGTTGAGCAGGATTCGGGCAATTACCTTGCCCAAACAACTCAGAAAGTTGATGGCATGATAATTCGCGCAATATTACATCCTTTGCCTTTGTACAGTGGTAGCACAAGGGCATCCTTCAGCTCAGAAGGCACCTCCTCCTCATTCCACACGCGTTGCACCAAGTGGTGCAGCGCAGTCAACAACGCGGGTCCGCCGTGTTTCAATACTTCAGGCGGGATCCCATCGGTACTGGCACACTGGCCGTTTCGCTGCTGACCAAGTGCTCACGGAGTCTCATCCAGTATCGGCGTGTCCGCCAGACTCATCTTCACATCGTATTGCTTGAGGCCGTTCAGTGTAGGCCAGTCAATCTCTGAACGGTTGTTCAAGAGACAGTCGAAGAGTTTATGCCGGATCTGCATTATATCTGCAGTCTGTGTGCAAGTAGCGCCTAACATACCATCGATTAGCGTTCTCAGCGACTCCAACCTCGGTCCATACACAGCCTTCAAAGAGTCAAAGAATTCCTTGTGTTGGCGGCGTTCGGCGTGGCATTCCATCTGCTTCGCCTTCTCCGTCCACTATGAATTTTGCAATGCGGCTAGCTCTCACATCAGTCGCCGTCGAATTTAGCAAAACTGGCTTGTCTTCCCCAAGTCACTGCGGTCTGCCACATGTGCAGCAAATGCTGCATTATTCTCTGACACCAATGCGCCGATCGTCGCATTGTTCTCATCAAACCAATCAGACCGCTTCCAGTTTGCGCGCCCGATGGTCTCCTCGGCAGCAGCTGTCACCTGGTCGCGAATGTGGTGCCACAGGTCGCCCACTGTGGCTATGCAGTCCACATCGGGCAGTCGTGCAGCCATCGCCTTCTCCAGTTCAGTACGTTACTGAGGGAGAGAACGGTAAATTTACGCCGATTCACGACGGGAGTGCAATACATAGATTTACGAAAATATACGTACAGTTCGGTCTGAACCAATTTGTGATCAGTGCCACACTCGGCTGAACTTAGTACACGTGTCATGTGCACTTCACGCATATCACGCGGATGTACGATGGCATAGTCGAGCAGGTGAGCGTGACCACTCCGTACGTGCGTCAAGGTTTCTATATCACTCGCATCCGTTAGAAAATGAGTGTTGATGATCGTCAGGCCGTGAGTGGCACACAGTGAGAGCAGCCTGTCACCGTTCGCATTCGCTGAACCAACGCCACGCGGACAGTTGACATCTGTCCACACCGATACATCACGCCTAACGTGCGCGTTGAAATCACCCAGCAGAAATAGCCGGTTGCTCCACTGCACAGACCGTATCACGGAGGATAGTTGAATGTAGAATTGATCACGCGGTTCATCAGGATAACATGGTCGGACCATATTTGCTTACAAGAGTAACAAAGTTACCTCTTCCGAGTCGTAGGCGAACAGTCCTCAGTCGTGCGCTGATGCCTATTGGTTCACCCATCAGATGGCCATTTAGGCGATCGGATATTGCAAATCCGACCCATGTTTATGTGGTGTTGAGGTAGCGTTGGCCACCCAGCACCTGCTTCACCCATCAAGCGCAGTCACACCTGGGATGTCAAACAACAGCCAATCATTCAAAATTCCGATATCACGTAAACGCATATGATGACATAAATACTCGTAAAATGAGCATATGTAAGAAAGTGGTTAAAGGCGAATACGCGTAAAGTACAAAATGTCCCAAAGTTATTTAAAAAATACCACGCGATACAAGTACGCCAGTTTACAACAATTTGCATGAGCGACGTGTGCAAGTTGGGAGAAGATTATCAAGTACGCAGAACAAACCAAATAAAGTGGAATGAATTTTCTCCACATAAAAAAACCTAGTTTAAGTGTAAGTTGGTTCAGCCCAACGGCAGTGAAGAAGCATCATGAATGCAACATCAGCCTCAGCATGGGGCACACATACATACATGGTTGGCGACATCCCGTTTCAGATTTTCCTGTCACTGTGGCCAGCCCCAGGACGTCTGCGTCTACAGAGGGACCATGTGTGACTTGCGCTGCACCACCCACAGTTCCACCCACACACCTCATATCCGGTGTAAACCCGAAGGAATAAGACCAAAACGCATACGGATGGGAGCCACGTTTCATCAACGGAGCCCGACCATACTCCTTCAACAAGCAGAACAGAAACATTCCGGCCTAATTGTGAAAGCACGCACACCAGACGTACACGTGGCGGTGGCTGGATCGTAGCCCGTTCCACACAGGATGGAACCACTCTTTGAGCCCAGCACCGTCACAAAGACAGTGCACCCCGTTTCGTCCAGCAACGACCAACTGTCTCCTGGAGCCAGCAATCGAGGTGCAGAGTATTAGACTGGTAGGTACCTTGTCAACATTCGCATCAGGCGCAGCCACACCGGGGAGCTCAAACAACATCTACTACTGAAATGTAAGATTACGCATCACGCAGGCAAACGTACCACATACGCCACCTTATTGGCTTGGATTAGTAAATCGAATGGGAGCGCACGCATCGTGCTTCTATTCCGCGTCCAATAGTGCCTTCTCCTGCACTTGGGCAACCGCCCAGTTTATCAGTAACGGAATGCGCATCGATCAATTTTGTCTTGCATCCGCAACACCTGAAATCAATATTAGTTCGTCATAAACTCAGATTCTTCATTTCCTGGTAATGTTATTTTCAGTTTGCCCCAGTGCTGCATCCCTGCGTTAAGTTGGCCGTACAAAAACGGTATAAGTATCCTCATCGAATTCATTCGGTATACATATGGATTGGCGTCACCCGTGTCCGATGGCAGTTCGTATACAACATATACACATGCGCTTGTCCAGAATTAAGTATGAACTGCCACAAAGTGGATAGAGACACATTAGACCCGATGAACAATAGTACTAACAAGGTGTATGAGTATCGATTGGAGGTCAAAGTAACAGCCAACTACACAGGTATTAGAATAAGTACCCAATACGAACTGTTGGCGTTGTCTTTAACAAATAGGCGTGACAGTCTTAAATCTTGGGTATTGGAATGACATCGATATAGGAGCAGGGACGCAATTGCCATCAGTACGGTTACCAGATAGACTGAATAACAAACAAGTAGTACAGTAAAATAGTGTGTACTTAAGTGTTGCCACCTATATGCAGAGTCTGGTTTGCGTACCTGATGAGGGAGGTCGCACAGCGTGCGAATGCAATTGACTAGAAATGTTCGATGGTGAAGTCTATTCCGAAAGGCGGCGACCCCAGCAAAGTAGACAACTACAAGCCAAATTGTCTGACACCTATTTGGCAAAGGTTGCTGAGAAAATCGTGAAGAAGGGATTGCTGCAGTTGCTACAGTCAAACGAGGTCCTGACGCCCGCACAGCACGGTTTTATGCAAGGTCGCTCATGCATTACGAACCTGCTTGTGACGAGGCATGAGTGGTTGAAGGCAGTAGACAAGGGGAAGTCTGTCGACGTGATATTCATCGATTTCAGTAAAGCGTTCGACAAGATCAACTATGAGGTTATCCTACACAAACTCAGCATGTGTGGTGTCGGTAGCACACTGCACCGGTGGATTCGCGACTTTCTTGTTGGACATAAGTGGAGAGTACAGGTCGACGACCATCTAACTGACTGGTATCCCTCTACAAGTGGCGTGCCTCAAGGCACTGTGCTGGGACCCACTCTGTTCCTGATCCACATCAACGATCTACCGCAGCTTCTCCGGTCGCCGTGTGCCTTGTTTGCGGACGACATGAAGATTTGGAGAGAAGCTGACGTTCCCGACGACTGTGGCCTATTTCAGCAAGACTTCAACCTCCTACCCACATGGTCTGCATTAGTTCCTCTCCCGGTCAACCCAGCCAAGTCTGTATTTATGAGCCTGGGGAAGGGTGCTGACGGCCGAATCGACATCCTTGACGGCCAAACGCTATATCCCACACCCTCCGTGAAGGACCTAAGTGTACTCTCACGTTACGATTTGAGGTTCGTTGACAATACGAACAGGCTATTTCGTAACGGACTGCGCATGCTTTGGGTGCTCAATCGTAGCTTCGGCACATGGTCTGAAGAGGTTGCCACTCGCATCTTCTCTTCCATCATTAGACCAATGCTAGAGTACGGGTCGCCCGCCTATTTTCCGATTACCCGAGGCGAAGCACAAAAGATAAAACGGGTCCAACACGTTGCTACCAGGCTGATCCCGAGTTTACGTGGCTTGGGGGTATGAAGACCGGTGCGAGAAACTACGACTCTACCGTTGGGCGCGAGTCGACCTCATTATGATCTACCGTATTCTACATCTCGGTGAATTTCCCATACTGAGGCCAATGCTACACTTAGGAGGGCCATGCAGCACACGCGGACACAGATACAAACTTGTCGTGCTGGATGTGAAGCGGGTTCTCCACCCACTGTGCTTCGAACGGAGAGTGGTAAATATTTGGAACACTGCCTGAACATGTGATGTAGGCAACATCTGTGCAGCAGTTCAAAACGTTGTTAGATTAATATTTTAACACTATTCGATTCAGAGAAAGATTGCACACTTACGATGACATCTCATTTGTGAGTCCTGCAATACCGTGAGTCAGATATTCTACATGTTACATGAGAACGATAACGATATTCAGGGCTGGCAATTTTTAGGACGTTTTTCACCATATTTCGAAAGAGTTGTATGTAATTCATTTCTACTTTCTCTATTTTGTGATGTTTGGTTGTACAATAATCCGCATTGTTGGTGTGAAAATGTTGAGAACGAACCCATACGAGTGAATAAATTTTGCTTTGACTTAACCTGAAGTGAAAAAAATTGATCGTACCAAAGAAATAAAAATTGACGGCCATACGCTAGGGGCAAGCAATAAATGCAAGTCTGCCGTCTCGGTGTATGCCATTTGTTAATATAATGCTAAATCGGTGAAATGCCAATGTGGTCAGTTAACGGAACGTAAAAGATGATGAAGAATTTCACTGAAAGGTTGAGTCCAAATGATGACTTTTGTTTTAAATATGGAGTCTGGGGGTGTTATCACATTGGTGTTTGGATACCCTGTTGCTTATTCAGTTAGAATGATTCGTATAATTATTATTGCTATTAGTACTTTGTAACATGGGTCGAGGTAACTGTATCTATCACACTTCAGTAAAAGGAGCCTTTTTGATCCAATTGAACTTACCGCAAACAGTATTTGTACAATGGCTCGTATAAGATCCGCCTCCATGGAGGGAAGTTGGTAACCGGGTCCAGCGGAAGCTGTAACGATCGGTCGACACTCAAGTGCGGCCAAATTGCCAAGCGCAGTGAGGAAAGCTTCAAGGCCCACATCGTTCAGACCGATAGAGAGAAGGGCTCGGTGCAAGGGATTGACAACTTGGCCAGGAAGATAGGCGAGAGGTACGGACGATGATGTACTCCATGATGGTAGGATAGAAGCGAGGATACAATTGAGAAGGTCGACTTTCGAACGACTAGACGTCAGGCCGAATGGGAACAGAGCAACAAAGGAACGCCAGCACACCAAACGCACAGCCTCGTGATGTGTTGATGGGAGACCACATCCAGACAACAAACAGTTGGCAGCACGCAGACAGAAGTAGTCGTACTGGGAGATGACGCGACGAAAGTCGACGCAACTTTCCGATATGGTTTGTTGAATCCAAGCGTGCCGGATACGGGAGCCGATGGCAAGTACCAATAGGCTAAACACGGAGTAAGCAGAGTGATAAAAGATTCGATGTACGGAAAATATCGAGAGCACCCATTATCTGATAAAATTACCGAAAATAAATCATGCAAAAGAGGAAAAAGCTAAAATGACAGGGTGCAGACAAGATCCGGTGAGAATAAAGTCGATGCCTTAAAAACAACAAGGTGTTAGCCACATGGACCTGACAGATCGAAGTAACCTTAGGATAACGGCAAAACCTTGTAACTATGTGGACCTCTGCTTTGTTGCAAGACGGTGCAACTCGGATGTAGCAGCTAGCATATGGGACACACAGAGTTATGGCGAAAGAATGCTCAGCACCATCGTCGAGATAAAAATGTATATAGTGCATTGAGGAAGCAACTTTTGCAATGTAGCGAGGCGTAGCTAGGCTTTGCAGTTCTACTGTGACAGACGAGTTTATGTGCCCTCCAAAAGTAGTGTACTAGGTAAGGGAGTGCATGTATTTGATTGGCAAAGTAGGGAGCTTACCTAATGAGTCCAGCCAGCCGTTTGGCTAAGATACGCCAACAGCCCAAATGCGTGCGGGGATTAGGTGCTCCCAGATGATCAGAGTAGATAGCGCCGCATGATTGGATAAGATCCAGGAGTTGATCAGCGAAGGCCAACAATGTGAGCAAGCCAGAACCACTGCCGATAACTGCATATTGATGTGTGGGACGCGTGTTATCGCATACTAGCAGCTGGATCAGCCGCTCAAAATTTAGCTGACGCAATAGTGCCTCTAGATCTCGAGGGCCGACAAATATGGACGATTCGGAATCCACAGACGGTGATTCGGGGGGAGTGGGTAAGTCGACCTGACGTCGTGAAGAAAGGAGTACACTGTCTTCTTGGTCACTCTCACCGCCAGAGTCGACAACAGTCCAGCGCGATTCACTGGCTTGTCGGGGAGGCGAATCGAACGAGGCTGTGAGTAGGTCATGCAATTCTGAGTTCGAGGAAGTTAAAAGACTATGACGATTACTGCAAGGGAGTGAAAAACAAATGGACAGGTATAACACCCCAAAGTTCGGTGAGAAAGCAATATGCGGAACTGCACTGCGTTGAAGGTTCGGCAGAGCAGCTACCAAGCGCAGACAATATCTCGGCGATGCGATCAGATATATTACGTCCCCTGAACAATCGGGGCGCCTGCCTGCACTCGCAGCAATAGAACGTAGAATATACGTAGGACATACGGAATACATTACCATAAGTGCCACCCATAGTTATATAAATGAGTTGTGACGAACGCGATGTAGCCCAAATGAACAGCATTTTTGTAGCAAGCCGCCAAACAAATTCCAGCATTGCAGTGTTGTAAACCGATAGAAACGTAATACTCATTCGGTTGCCCAAGGGTTCTATAGAATTTGGAAAGTTACCTGCATTCGTCCGGGCAAATCACAAGTCGCATAATCTCACCATTGTTCTGGGAATGAACCATACGGCCGTTTCGCGCTAGCAAGGATCGCCAACGGTGTGTATCCACCGGCTCTATCACCAACCGAATCCGGTGATCACTAGCACCTTGTGTCAAAAAAAATTAGCATCTTATGCCACCGAACCATGAGGGGGGCGGTGGTAGGCCATCATAATTTGTGTGCTAAATGGGATATAGCTCGACCCACTCTCCACTGTCATGCAGGTTACTGCATGGATGGACAGCAGAGGACCGTGGTTGGCCACCCAAGGTCATGACTGGCTACAGCAACCACATGCAGTTGGGGACATGTTCTGACTACTGATGAGTAGGGGGATTCTTCATGAAACTTAATCGATTCACCCAGGCAACTCACAAGCCAGTTAGCTTAGCGGTGGTCCAGTTTGGTGCTTTTCCGGATCCACAGTAAAATTATCAGACCAGTGAGCAGCTGGGGAAAATCCGATTAGGTTTCATCAAAACTCCATCTACTCATCATGAGGCTGAAAGACTGTAAAACAAGCAAAACGGTAAATTAGTGACTTCAATGCAAAAGCTAAAGCAAATATAGGGTGAAGAATGCAGACACATGCCGTACTCTAACACCTCAGATAATATCGGGATTAACAGGGAGATGTCGGAGGTCTTTCCGCTCACAAGTGGTGTCACTAAAGATTGACGCAATATCAATTTTCTACTCAATTTTTATTGTGGGATCAACCATAGAGTGTTCCCCTATACAATTCCATGATTCAGGCGAACACACACCGTCAGGGATAACAGCGCTTGTGATGAATTCGGCGGACGATCGCAAAGTGGTAATACAAAGTCTGGATAAGCTTAGTGAGTAAATTTTACTATTGGGCATGCGCTATGGAATTTAAAAGTGCAAAGTTCTGTTACACGACAGTCAGGACCAAAACTGGGTTTCATAGCCTTAGTTACGACGGAGTAAGGCGAGATGGCTGTACCCCTTATCTTGGTAGCTGCATTAACGACGAATTCGGCACCGGAATGAGATATACGTTGGTAGTTAGTGTGAGGACCTAACGTAGGTCAGCTTATTTCTAGACGAAAAAAGACAGGTAGAAATTCGTCACATCTAGACTCACTCAGACAGCCGTCATACGCACGGAAAGGCACGCGCGTTTCATCCTCTCGGGAATAGTCAGCAGTGCGCATTTCATCGGACTCTGGTAGGGCTCGAAACCGCCACCCGACAGTTGCCAGTCCGTGGTTCAGACCAATGAGCACGGCAGTGAAAGGGGGCTACCCAGTCCTCTGCACGATAGTAATGTCTAAGTCGGCGCAATATTACATTTAGTAATTAATTCACGATGGTCGGTACCGTCCCCCGTAGCTCAGTGGTCTCAACCACGGACTGGCAACAGTCGAGTTGCGGGTTCGAGCCCTACCAGGGTCCGATGGAATGAGCACTGCTGACGATTCCCGAAAGGATATAACGCGCGTACAGTGCTTTTCCGGGCGCGTGATGGCTGTCAAGGTGAGTCTAGATGTGACGAATCTCTAACTATCCCATTCAACTCCTCTTCGTAGTCCTCTGAAAAAAGATTTGTTTAGTTACTGGTTGCTGGATGGTGTAAGGGCATGGGCCTGACAGCGGGAAAAAAACTCTGTTCGTTAGACCTGGGGTTGTTGTTTAGACTAGACTTCTAGGTTAGGGCTCATGAGACGAGCTGGATCAGGTTATTACGAGATGTCACAATACAAACGGTGAGCAGATGATCGCTGGCCCATGGAACTACCCATGCATCGCAGCGTTGTCATGAGGAACGCACGACCCGGCTTTACGTACAACGATAAGTTAGAACCTTGAAGAGTACACAGGGAAATGAGCCCCAAAGTGCAGACGAGGTGAAAAAATCCGGCCAGATGAACGTGTCAATCAACGGATTAAGGGGGTCAATGATGAGAGGAAAGAGTGATCCTAAGCTAATGACATGAAGAACTGAAGATGCACTGGGCGCACATGAGTTCGGACTTACGTCACGAACATAGAAAAACATGAGCTCAATGTAACAACAAAGTAATAAATCAGAAACACCTCAGTTCAATTCCGTTTGTTGACTATGATCTGGACACTAAACTGTTACCTTGACTCGCATCACAAAAATAAAAACGATTCCAGAAAACGGGCAGGAAATGAAATCGTTAGACAGAATAATCAAAAGTTGGAAAGTATCGAACGAATACAAAATGTCATCGACCTTGTGACCGGGGCATGTCCGGCAGGGCATGAAACCACTGAGGTGACAGGCTCCATGGACCCCCTCGGAGAGAAGGACAAGCAGCTAGCCAGCTCAGTTTTTATGGGTCTCTTTCACGCTCTTTTGCCGTGCCACTGACTGGCCACTTTGGAGTTTCACGCAAGTAGGCAAACAAAGTGTTAAGGAAATCAGTTTCATTGGGAAAAAACCTGTTTTAGTTCTTGTCAAAGACATTCGTACAGCATCACATCTCTC